CAAGTAAAGAAATCCCTAACATGCACTATAGGGACCAAAACAAAGAAATAGGGAAAAGCAACATGGAAGAAGCTGTATGCAAGGAGAACACATCAAGGAAGTATTATTAATATCCGCTGGGAGATAAGAGAATGTATTGTAAAAGCAAAACAGAAACAGGATGCTATGTGTTTTAGAAAGAAACCCCTTAGAAAACATCAACAAAAACAGATCTTTGAAAATGAGACCATAAATAAAAAGAATTCAATAAAAGTTTTAACAGATAAAAATGAAGAACTCTTTCAAAAGGTAAAGCAAATATCCACAGAAAGGTAATATAAGAGAAGAGATAAGGAAATTAGAGATGGGTCCAGGAGATTGGAGACTCAAGAAATAAAAATTCCATAAACGCAGAACAGAGGAAAACAAAGCAAAAAAATTATCGATGACATCATAAAGGAAATTTCCCACAGTTGTTGTTGTTATTGTTATGTGCCGTGGAGTCACTTGCAACTCATAGCGACTCTATGTACAACATCCCTAAACCCTGCTCTGTCCTGCGACAATCACACTGTCTCCAACACACTAACCCTGATTTCCCCCGTCACTAAATCAATGCACCTCATAGAGGGTCTTCCCCTCCTATGCAGTCGCTCCACCCTCCCAAGCATGACGTCCCTCTCCAAGGACTGGTCCCTCCTTGCAACATGTCCAAAGTATGTCAGACGAAGTTTCAGAATCCTTGCCTCCAAGGAGCAGCCTGGTTTAACCCACTCCAGGATGAACCTGTTCATTTTCTTAGCAGTCAATACTCTTCTCCAGCATCACAACTCAAAGGCATCAACTCTTCTATCCTCCCTAGTCATTGTCCAACTTTCTGACCCATAAGAAATTATTGCAAAGACCATGGTCTGTATCAGAAACACCTTAGTCTCCAAAGGGACACCGTTGCTCTTAAGTGCTTTGGAGAGGTCCCTAACAGCAAACGTTCCCATTGCGATATGTCTTTTAATTTCCTGGCTGCTGGTGCCAAGAGTGTTGACTATGGAGCCAAGCAAACTAAAGCTGGGAACAATCTCAATCTCTTCACCATCCATCCTGATGCTGCTAATTGGTTCAGTGGTGAGAATCTTTGTCTTCTTGATATTGATCCTCAATCCATATTAAAGGCTGCAGTCCTTGACCCTCTACAACAAGTGCATGAGGTCCTCCTCAGTTTCAGCAAGCAGGGTTGTATGATCTGCATAACACAGATTATTGATAGGTCTTCCACCAATCCTGATGCCACAATTCTCCTCATAGAGCCCAGCCTCCCAGATAATCTGTTTTGCATACAGGTTGAAAAGGTATGGAGACAGGACACATCCCTGATGTACATCCTTCCCAATTTTGAACCATGTAGTGTTTCCTTGCTCTATTCTGATGACTGCCTTTTGGTCCAAGTATAGGTTTCACATTAGCATGATCAAGTGTTCTGGGATTCCCATTCTTCTCAGAGTCAGCCACAGTTTTTTATGATCCACACGCCTTTGCATAATCAATGAAACCCAGATAGACATTCCTCTGGTACTGCCTGATTTCAGCTAAGATCCATCTAACATTAGCTACAATATCACACAGTTAAAGGAGAAAATAAATTCAAATTAAAGGGATCCACTGAGTCCCAAAAACAAATTAAAAATAAATCTTTAGTAAAATATGTTATAAAATCTCTGAAAACTAAGAGCAAAGAGAAAAATCTTCCAAGCTGTTAGACAGAAAAACCAGATCACATTCAAACTTATCATGAGCCCAAATGACTTTGACCTCAAAAGTAACATGGAAGGGATACATGTCCCCCACCTCTTAGAATTCCTTACACAAACTGTTAAAGAGATGTAAAGGTGAAATAAAGACATGTTCAGTTGTATAGGTCTCACAAAATAACCTCCTATAAATCCTTTCTCAGAAAGCTACTGTAGAATGAGTTCTAATAAAATAAGAGGATAAACCAAGAACTAGGAGGACAAAGGATATAAGAAACATGACATTCTGCACAGAAGAGTGGTAAATACGTTCTTACAAGAGCGAGGGCGATAGCACAGTGGAGGTGGATGGAAGGAGAAGGACCACACAGAGTGGGGCAGGTCAGAAGGCCACAAGAGAGGCTTCTTCAGAGGATGAGAATGGAAGACACCAGCTGCACCTAAACACATAGAGAGTCAATGAAGAATTTGGAGTTGAATTAAGTGTTGTTGTTGTTGGTCATAGAGACATTTGGTAGACATGGTGGGGTGATGTATGAGTCGTATTTCTAAAGGTGGTACCTTTATGCAAAGAAATATGAATGTACTTGATGTTCTTTGAGGGAAAGATAGACAATTTCTTCTCATGCAACTTATAGCTTCAGAAAACTCTCTTGAAGGGTCAAGTTTGAGTTGGTCCCAACACAATGGTGATGAGTTTGAGGGTTTGTGGGGGTTTATTTTGTTGTTAGTTGGTTGGTTTTTTGTGTGTTTGTTTTGTTTTTGGTTTCTATCTTCTAAGATGCCTCTGAGTGCCACTTTCCGGCCTTTCATTTTCAGTGGAGAGCTTAAATGTTTTTGACACATAGGGGTGCTGAGTCAACAGTACATGTATCAGATATGAGCAGGCAAAACCACAGGGCAATTATTTGCTTCAGCAAAAACAAAGTTTCATAATCACAAAAATGCAAACACTGAGAGTTGATTTCATGAAAATTGTATGACAATCTATTGGACAAGAGAAGGTGCCAGAAGAGTATCCCATAAAATTGAAACTAAAGGGTAGAAGTGAAATACAGCTGCTGTTGTTGGTGGTGGTGGTAAGTGCCGTCGAGTCGCAGGCGACTCATAGCGACCCTATGAAGGAGAGTCCTCAACGCTTGGGTGCCTTCCATCCTCTCTCCAGGTTCATAGGGTTTCCAGGGGCAAGCTATTATGGAAGTGGATGCTACTCCTCCTTCCAAGCTTGTTTTAATCGGGGAGCACCACCCCACTCTCTGTCCTCATTGGGTAGCCAACCATTAATGCATTTGACACATCAGTGTCCCAGTGTTCAGCCTCACAGCAACCAAAAGTGACCGCTGTACGGCAACTTGTACACCAGGGCTATACGACCTAGAGGAATGTCTGAATAAAAACAATGAAAGACAGGCCCGAGGGCTATAGATTAAAAGTCACCCACCTTTGGCTTGGTAGCATTGCTTTCTGTTGACTGGGCCAGCTGATGTCTCTCTCAGCTAGCTTCTTTTTATCATGGAAAGCCAAAACTAAAATAACTAGGAAGTAGCAACATGCCATTAAGAGCAATTATCAAAATACTGAGAGGAATGCTCAGGTCATCTCTAAAGAGTGCTAGAGGGGGCTGAGCTATAGTCAGTGGATGGGAATAAAAGAGTATGGCTACCCTTAACAAATTAGACCATTACTCTTTGTTCATTTATAGCTTTAATTAAAAATAAAAACTTCAGGAGTTAGTTTACAAAGTAGGGGGAGAGAAAATCTTTATTGATGAGTCATTCTTTCTCTGAGAAGTAGATCCTATTTTCTTTAAGAATTTTACTTAGTCCAATAGTTAATTCTTTGTCATGGGAATATTACAGCATATTTCTACAACGTGGGCTAACGAGTTTAAAAAAAAAAGAGGGGGAAAAAGTTATAAAAATCAGGTTGTGAGTAGGTGCTGGGTGATAGCTGTAATTTTCCTCTCACCCTGTGCACGCATATCAAACTGGGGTTCATTTGCACTGACCTGTAGCTTCATTTTTTCTCGCCCTCTCTCCTTGAAATGATAAAGTTTTCAATTCTTGAATAAGGAGTGAAGCCTCAGGCAACAGAATGAGGTCTGGAAAGGGATATGCAGAGGACAATGATAAACTACTTGCTGCCTTCTACTTGGTCTTGGGGAGGGAAAGCATCTTCCTCCATCTTGGTCTCTAAGAACTGTTACTCCAGCTCTTACCATGTGCTTACTGACATTCATCTGTGTGGTGAATTAGGAGAATTGTGGCATCAGGATTGGTGGAAGATCTATTAACAATCTGCGTTATGCAGATGATACAACCTCGTTTGCTGAAACTGAGGAGGACCTCATGCACTTGCTGCAGAGGGTCAAGGACTGCAGCCTTCAGTATGGACTGAGGCTCAATGTCAGGAAGACAAAGATTCTCACCACTGGACCAATTGGTAGCATCAGGATGGATGGTGAAGAGATTGAGATTGTTCACAGCTTCAGTTTGCTCGGCTCCACGGTCAACACTCTTGGCACCAGCAGCCAGAAAATAAAAAAAACGTATTGCCCTGGGAACGTCTGCTGTTAGGGACCTCTCTAAAGTACTCAAGAGCAATGGTGTCTCTTTAGAGATGAAGGTGCACCTGATACAGGCCATGGTCTTTGCAATCACTATGTTATGCATCAGAGAGTTGGACAATGACTAGGGAGGACAGAAGGAGAATTGATGCCTTTGAGCTGTGGTGCTGGAGAAGAGTATTGAATGTACCATGGACTGCCAAGAAAGCAAACAGATTCATCCTGGAGGATTAAACTAAGCAACTCCTTGGAGGCAAGGAGTTTGAGGCTTCGTCTGACATACTTTGGGCATGTTGCAAGGAGGGACAGGTCCTTGGAGAGGGACATCATGCTTGGGAGAGTGGAGGGACAGCTCAAGAGGGGAAGACCCTCTATGAGATGGATTGATTCAGTGACTAGGGTAATCGGGATGGGTGTGTCAGAGGCGGTGTGATTGGCACAGGATAGAGCGGAGTTTAGGGCTGTTGTACATAGGGTCGCTGTGAGTCGCAAACGACTCGACGGCACATAACAACAACAGTGTTTGATCCAAACCATTATTAACAAAACGTGCTCTAAGTTCAAAATGACCTATTTGCTGTCTTTAGAATGTGTGTCCTGCCTCGAATATGGCTCAGCAAGTAATTAAGGGGATATGGTGTGGCCAGGTTGCAGAACTCTGTCTGTCCCCAGAGGTACTGGGCTCAAGGTCCTCTCTTTCTTTCCCCCAGGCTACCAGTGTGCCTGTCTTTCTCAGTTCACCGGGAGAAACTGTGAATCTGAGATTACAGCCTGCTTTCCAAATCCCTGCCGAAATGGAGGCTCCTGCGACCCAATTGGAAACACTTTCATCTGTAATTGTAAAGACGGGCTCACTGGGGTCACGTAAGTATGCTTGTGCTGTAGTTTTTCTCTAAGCTTCTTTTTCTTACTAAGAAAATAAATCAATGAACAGCTAACTGGGATAAAAATATTTACCACTCCTGTGACAGGCCAAGGGCTAATCTATTTAATATACAAAGAAGAATTCCAAACCCTCTGCCTTCCTATAGGGACTCTACCTTTCTTAGCTACTCTGCACCTGGCTTCTGGGACTGTAAATTTTTATAGGAAGACACTGTCCACCTTTCTTCCTCAGAGCAGCTGGTAAATTTGAACCACCAACCTCTCCATTAACAACCCAACACATTATGTACCACATCACCAGGAATCCACCAAAAATGATGACATGTGACTAGAATGCTGCTCTGGGTAGTAGGGCCGTAGTGGGCTCTGATGGGATAGACTGTAGAGAATTGGACTGCTGGCCCACCGTACCTCTCTGGCAGTTTAAATCCACCAGGGGCTCTGGGAGGAAAGATGGGCAATCTCCTGTATAGTTTACAGCCTCAGAAAACCCACTGGGTGGTCAGCTTATGAGTCATTTCTGACTTGACATCAATGAATTGGTTTGGGGAGGTTTTTGGGTTTTGGTTTTTTTAAAAAGTGAGGTTATGGTATTTTGTTGTTTTCTCTTCTCCTTTATGTTGTTGTTATGTACCATCTAGTCCAAACGGACCCATAGCTGATCTTCCAGCAGGCTGTCAGATATTTAAATCGCATGGGGGAAGAGTGCCCATCTTTCTCCCGCAGAATAGCCCGTGGGTTCAAACCATGCACCTTTTGATTGGTGGTGTAACTCCTTACAAGGAAGCCACCAGAGTTCCCTTTTTACTTTATTCTTCTCTGTATTTTCCATATTTTGTCAGAGCTCCCTATATTTTGCCTAGATAATATATATTCCAATACTAGGAAGCCTGCTATTTTAAAAGGAAGTTATCAGTGGCACCTCATATTTCCAGTATGATTCTGAGGGAGGAAAAGCCTCAGTTACCCCAGAAGACATTAACTGGTTTAAACTGCACAACATTTTATGACATTTCAAAGATACTAAAATTTACAATTTATCTTTTCTTTGCACATTTTGTTTTTATTATGTGTTGTCAAGTTGCCTGCAACCCTAGGTACAGCGGCACTGAAGCCTGTCCTGTCCTGAGCCAGTCTCACTAATTCTGACACACCAATCCATATTTCCCCAGTTTCTCTGTCAATCTGTCTCATCCAGGGTCTTCCTGTCTTGTGCTGTCCACCCTTCTAAGCATGTCCTTCTCCAAGGACCGCTGTTTTCTGGCCACAAAGTGTGTGAGAAAGAGCTTCAAAATCCTAGCCTCCAAGAAGAACCTTGGTTTTACCCTTTTCAAGACACATCTATTTGTACCTCTCCCCCCCCCAAAAAACATAAAAAACAAACAACCAAAAAAAAAAAAAA